CTAGCTCTATAGTCAGAAGGTTCGCCAGTTATTTTACCGAACGGTGTTCGATTCCAATTGCGGCAAAATTTTTTTTTTATTCAAATTGCATGTAATTGCAATTTTATCATGCCAAAAATGAGTTTTAAATTTCAATTTTTATGTAAAATTTTTTTTTCAATTAATCAATGACAAATGAGAAAATATTTGAACAGGGCCATTAACCTTTTTTTGTACAAATACATTGATAATAGCCTTTTTTAACAACTTATTAACAATAAAAAATTGTTTAAACAATCCGCGGCGAGTTCCGATACTTCGCCGGCAAGCTCTATCCCCACCTTTCGTACTCAAGCCTGCATTATACAATTTATAAACATAAACATGATGTCAGAGATAATATGTTAGCTCTGTAGGTAGAACACCAAGCTTTCATTTTACCGATTAGGGTTCGATCCCACTTATAGCCAATTTTTTTTTTTCATTAAAATTTTATATGATATTTTATATGAAGCTTATGATATCTAAACGTAAACAAAGCAAATGAAAATATGCTGGCTCTGTAGTCAGAAGATTCGATTTCGACATCAAAAATGAGTTTTAAATTTCAATTTTTATGTAAAATTATTTTTCAATTAATCGATGACAAATGAGACAATATTTGAACAGGGTCATTAACCTTTTTTTGTACAAATACATTGATAATAGCCTTTTTTAACAACTTATTAACAATAAAAAATAGTTTAACCAATCCGCGGCGAGTTCCGACACTTCACCGGCAAGCTCTACCCCCACTCTCTGTGCCGAAGCCTGCAGCTTATAGTTTTCAAGCATCTTTAATATTATTGATACCATAATAGCTCAGTGGTTAGAGCACCAATCTTTTATTTTGCTGGGCAGGGTTCGATCCCAGTCATAGGCAATTGTTTTTTCTTTTTTTTGCTTAAGTGACTTTATATACTTATAAATTAATTCATATATTTGATTAAATTATTCTTCCAATTAATTACGGAAAACAACTTGTTTTTCTGAAAATAAGCTGAGGGTGAGGAACGAGTTACTATGAATTCTCTTTTTCGAAAGTGTTGTCTTTAAAAGACAATAGGAATTGATTTTGAACTTATATAAGCAACCAATTATTGTATTTATATAAAATTTTAATGAAAAAAAAAGGAAAAAAAAAATTGGCTATGACTGGGATCGAACCCTAATCGGTAAAATGAAAGCTTGGTGTTCTACTCACAGAGCTAACACATCATCTCTGACATTATGTTTATGTTTATAAATTGTATAATGCAGGCTTGAGTACGAAGGGTAGGGATAGAGTTTGCCGGCGAAGTGCCGGAAATCCCCGTGGATTATTTCAACTACTTCTAAATATTTCTAAATTGCTTAAAAAAAAACTACGTTCATATAGCTGTAGTAAAAAAAGTGTTTATAACCCTGTTCATATGTTTTCCGACTCGGCGTCGATCAATTACATAAATAATTGAGAAAAAAAAATCAAATCGTTAGTAAGAATTCATTTTAGCATGTTAATGTTATAATTACATGCAAATCTAACAAATAAAAAAGAAAAAAAAACTTTATTATGACTGGAATCGAACCCTGCCTAGCAAAATAAAAGATCAATGCTGTAACCACTGAGCTGTTATGGTTCCAATACGCTTATATATGCTTAAAAATTATAAGCTGCAGGCTTGGGCACAGAGAGTGGGGGTAGAGCTTTCCGGGAAAGTGCCGAAACTCGCCACAGATTGTTTAAACTACTTTTCAATGTTAATAATAATATGATTAACTTGTTAATAACATTTCAATAACATAAAATTGTTAATACATGTAAAGATGTATAAGTTGTTAAACACAGGCTATTATCAATGTATTTATACAAAAAAAAAGTTTATGGCTCTGTTCAAATATTTTCCGACTTAGTGTCAATAAATTCAATGAGTAAAGAGAAAAAAAAATCAAATCATTATAATGGATCAATTATGGCATGTCAATATTATAATTACATGCTAATCTAACGAATAAAGTAGAAAAAAAAGTGATTATGACTGGGATCGAACCCTGCCCGGCAAAATAGAACTCTGACGCTCTAACCACATGGCCAGCATAATCTCGATATTGAGTTTATGTGTATTTGTTTTTACACTACATGCTTGGATACGCCGACTTGGAATTGAGCTTTTTGATTAACATTTATACCTAATAAAAATGATAATAATGGATGATATATGTATTTGAAGTTATTTGCAGGTATTATATTAATTAATGTTAAATGAGTATCATCATTTTCATTTATTCTAACTGCAATAGTCATCAAAGTATAAGGCATTGTGAAGTGATACACTATGTTTACATGACATACATATATTAGACGTACACACTCATACACAAATTACTCACCAAAATGCAGGGCACCATCAGTTCTGGATACGAATTGAGCATTTTTTCAATATGGATGACTGAGGTCATCTACGAGCATAATGCTGTCACCTATCGGAATTTTTTCAAACTAATTTTCCGGAGAATATTATCTGGAATACAATATTTCTAATTATTTCTAAATTATTCAATTTTATACTATGAATTGATTTTTTCGACATTCAGACAGGTGGCAAGGACTGACGCAAACACGAATTTTGGGCGAAAAACGTATAAAAATAGAATAATTCGTGATTTTTCATCTGAATGATGTGGCCGCCATCTTGGAATTTAAGCGCGGCAAGTCAATTCATAATTTTTTCATTATTCTTTCTAATTTTTTTGATAGAAATATTCACTATATACAAAAAATTGTTGTTTACGTCAGTCCAGCATTAATTCTTCTGTAATTTGGTACCTAATTTTATAGAAATAATAGTAAATTGGCGAAGAAATTAGAAATATCCCGATCCCATGTATTTGGATAGGGGGAATCAGTCGCCTCTCTGACTTCAGCCTAGCCTTAAATGATTAAAAATAAAAAAAACCAATTTTAAAAGATTAAAAGAATAAAGCTTATTTTTAAAATGATCATTAGATAAAAAATCTGGGCATCATAGAATTTGATTGACAGTCAGTAAGATTATACATTTAAAGATTTAAATTTAAAAGATTGTAAAAATGCCTTTGACTGACATCTTATTGGGGACGGATGTCACGCTCCCATTTCGAAGCTGTTTCTGCGACACCTGTCGTCAATGTGATAAAATTATTATAGACACTAATATTTTCAAAAGTGAACTTTAGAGGCGCTTTTTATTGAACTCAACTCTTGTTTTCATCTCCGGTGGAAACACTCTCATCTCGATTCATGTTTTATTCAACTCGCCTCCGGTGGAAACTAAGCCACAGAGAGAAGACTTCTGGAAGAGAGTTCCTCATGTGTTTTGGTACGCTTGCGCTGTAGCGAAAAACGTGGTAGAAGGAGTAAAAAATCAGTGGTGGGGAGCCCGGAAGCATTGAAGTAACTGAGGAACTCTTTTCTCAGTTCGACAATATTTCGGAATCGGTCCATTGTTCAGTTTATTTTAAGTTTTTTTTATATATAATATAAACTATATGATGGCTGTAGTGCGAGGTGTTGATATTTCAATCAATTTCTGGTTCGATATTTTTTTACGAATATTTTTGGCATTTTTAATTGTGTAAGTTTTAATGTACATATTTTTCAGTTTTATTTGGTTTGTTTATATTATATTACTTTTATTAATCATTCTAGGACGCTAGAAAAAACAGAACCCTTTAACAGAAAAATACACGATGATGAATTATGGTTATATAAAAATCCGAAGACTGATTCTTACGTTCCGACGACTGTTTTATGGGTATTTATTCTTTATATGAATATAATTTCTATCATTATTTATTTATTAATTCTGTCAAATTTAAAAAATACAATTATGACTGTTTTTCAGCCATTAGTATTTATCACTCCCGCACTAGTCATTACTTGTACTTTTTTAATTTATAAGGATAAAGTTGATTTTGCTCAAGCTGTACTCGCAGTTACGTTAGCTCTTGGTTTAAATGGACTGATTACAAATGTTATAAAGATTATTGTAGGTAAGTGTTATTTACACATTTTATCATCATTATTATTGAAAATTACAAATGTTAATAGTAAAAATAACTCATTAAACTAACTGTTAATGAATTATTCATAAATCTTATTTATATTTATTATTAGGAAGACCACGACCAGATTTTTTTTGGAGATGTTTTCCTGATGGGTTAGCAAATGTAGAATTAAATTGTACAGGAAATCCGAATGAAATAAGGGATGGAAAAAAATCTTTTCCTAGTGGACACTCATCATGTATGTTATATTAGTACTGAAAAATAAATATAAAATATCTATATCGATAATAAATTAATAAATTCTTGATATTTTTAGTTGCATTTGTAAGTTTTGGATTTACTGCATTATATTTAGCTGGAAAATTAAAAACGTTCAGTCTGTCTGGTAAAGGCAATTCTTGGACATTATGTTGTTTTTTACTACCCTTGATAGGAGCTCTGTGTATTGCAATAAGCCGTACTTGTGATTATCATCATCATTGGCAAGGTATATCGATAATATCAAATATTTAACAACGTTATTGATATTAATTTCGTTTTAAATCCATAAAATTATCAATAACGAAGTTTTTTTCTACAGATGTTGTTGCTGGATCTCTTATTGGATTTTTGATAACGTATATGTGTTATCGACATTATTATCCGTCACTTGATTCTCATGTATGTTATAAATCATATATTACCATAGTGAAGCATGGAGAGTTAAAAAGTATTCAGTCTTTACGAGAAGACCAAATAAAATGGATATAAAAGTTTTCTTTTTTACATTTTTATCCTATTCTTTCTATTTATTTTTTTTATCATACATACCGTCACTTAGACGTAAATGAAATGCTAAAAAATAAAGTATCCAAAGGATGAATGATACTTAAACTTCGATTTTCGAAAAAAATTATTTACGATTCACTAAGAACCCACAAAAATTAGAACAATAGCTACACAAATTGGAGACTAATATAAAGGTTCTCTAATAGTAGAAGATAAAAATTTTTTATTGTTACGTTTATTTGCTTTTGTATTTTTGCAAAGCAGTTTATTCGATTTTTAATTTTGTAGTAAATAAAACTATTATAGAGGATCATTAATCAATTTGATTAATTTTTCAAATGTCAGAATTAATAAATATATCAAATATTAAATTATAAAGTAGTACAACGTATTATACAGAAAAAGCTCACATTGAATGGTATTTAATGTCAATACACTTAAATTCTGCAATTAACGTTTATATTTCGTATGTCATGGTCGATTAAAGAATATCTCACTGTCATAATTGCACAGCCTTTGGAACTTGTTTATATTTGTATCTGTAAATTATCGTAGAACATAAATTTATTAAAGTTCGAAATCAGGCTATTGATATATCTTAATTTGTAGGCTGTTTCGTCATTTGAAATTTAATTATTTTATTTCACATTTACACTAAAAGATAACTAGAATAACTGAAAAATTTATTTTTATAAAATGAATAATTAGCAGAGCATCATTATTATGTGGAAAATTTTAGTAATATATTAGCAATGAATTGCTAATTTATTCATTCAGAGAATTTATATCAGAACAATCATACAATTCATTCACAATTCATATTTCATTTACAAAGAATAAGTACGCCAAACATTCCACATTATACAATTTTCGCGCTATAAATTAATTACATAAAAAATTTTTAATTTACTATAATACATTATCTTATTGTATAGTTATCTTGTACGTATATATTTTATCCAATTTTTTGAAAAAATTGCCCATTATTCTTCTGCTGATTGGGAAATTTCTTTTGTCATTTAAACGTATAATAATAGAAAAAGTTGGTTTTTTAATTAAGAAATGACAAATTTCTCTAATTTCGCGATAGACAAAAAAATTTTTTCTCACATTCAGTTCATCTTTACATTCCATGTGCATTTTACATGATTCAATTCATTGTTGATCAATAAATATCCATTTAAATTCATTATCTTAATATTTTTTTATTCCATTTTTGTTGGGCACTAATGTTATTTATTCACAGATCCCAAGTGAATACATTAAGTATTCACTTATTTACCACAAATCTAAAAACAACATCATAACATCAATTTCATAACTCTTGAAAAAAGAGAGTATGAAAATTTCATACATAATTAATTACATTAATATTTGTTCGTTAATTACTTACATTCGTATCACAATAAATGATTAGATCAGTTTTCATACGTCACTCAAATGCTAAATATTTAAAAATATTTTTTAAATTTAAAGTTAACAGAATAAAAGTGAATGTATCTAAAATATGTATTAAAGTTACATACGGGATGGAGATCTGGTATCAGCTTGATTAGTATTCGATGGTGGATTCGGTACAGTAGAACTACTAACAGCATTATTTTCAGATCCATTGCAATTAAGAAAATCCCAAATAAGTATGGTATCATCGTGGGACGAAGAAACTATTTGAAATTCATCAAATTGTAAACGGAAAACCCGTCCTGTATGTTCCTAGAGATTAAAAGAAATAAATTAGTTCAAAACATTGGATTTTACGAATTATTATATTATTTTTGTTTTTACCACTAATGTACGTAAACAAAGTGTACTGGCAAGTGCTCGAGGATCTAGAGCAGCAACTAAATCCCATACTTTAATTTTACTAAAATACAGTAAAAATCAGATTAAAAAACTGATCTAGAGTTAAAAGTCAATTGAAAGAAAAAAGATAGTTACCCATCATAGGCTCCGCTAACAATGTGTTTTCTATCAAATCTTATACATCTTACTAATTCTTCATGCCCTTCAAGAACACGCAAACACGCACCACACTCAACATCCCATAGTCTGATAGTATTGTCGCTACTACCACTAACCACTAAGCGATCTCTATATTGCAAACACGCAATTCCCCGTTTGTGGCCGTTTAACGTTCGTACAAATTCACAACTTGAAGTGTTCCATACTTTAATTGTCCTATCACCACTAGCTGACACTATGTATTTTTCGTCAAAATCCACTACGTTAACAGCTGCCCGATGGCCGACTAATACCCTACGTAAAGCAATTTCTGTTTGCGATGTCATATCCCAGACAGCTATTGAACGGTCCTACAAATAGAAAATTGTTATACTTTATCGTACTATACATTAATTCAACATGCAAATACGCCGTAAATATTATAAAGATATGATGAATAATAAAGAGAAATTAATGAAATATTTTAAGCATAAATAATCGAAATCTTTTTTTATTACCTTGGAACAAGTTACCATCATTCCATTATTGAATCTTAGATGCAATACAGCTTCACAGTGATGTATCAAAGTATTAACCATTTCTCCGGTATTAGCATCCCAAACTCGGACTGTACTATCGGAAGAGCCAGATATAATAGCTTTATCATCATATTGTAAACAAAGTACAGAACCCGTATGACCAGTTAAAACTTTTATACACTGTAATGTATTTCGATCCCAAATTTTAATAGTATTGTCTCTCAAACCAGAAACTATTTTTTGGTCATCGTACTGTAGGCAATAAACACCTTTGGAATTTTCACTTCGGCAATTAATCTTTTGTAATTTGTGTTTCCCCATTCGCCAATTGTTATCAATACTTTCAATATCTTTTACAATATTTGGAAATAGATTCCTATAAAATGCATGATCACGATAATTTTCACCTGGTCGTGGTTTAAATAAATGTTGAATCCTGTAATTTTTAAATCATATTTGAAGTTCAGTTTTTTATAGATAAAAAAAATTGTTTAAAATATTTTTGTAATAAAAACCATCCACGTCTTTCAGCTAATCCTCGCCAAACTGAATCTGTTCGTACTTTACGCTCAATTAGCTTTTTCCAAAGCATTCCTTCACTAATTACCCTATACCACTCTTTACATACAAGTTCCGCTGCATAAAGTGAATCAGCATCTAAGTAAGATAATATACTTTCTGCTACATGATCTAATCCTTTTTCTAAAAGAAAGAAAAAATAGATTTATAAAGCTGTATTCTCTGTTATTTGTCGAAAAATATATTTTAAATTAACTTACTAGGTAATAACGAAATAAAATCCCTTTGTAACATAGGCTTGAGGAAAGTATTGATATGACCATGTTGATAATGACACATACGTGCTAATAATTGTTCTACAAAATGAACTTGCTCTGGTTCACTCCATCTTTCAAAATATTTCATGCACATTTCCCGTTCTTGAGTATATTGGGTTGTAAGATTCATTGTTTGAGATAATGGCTCTTTTTTACGACTGGGATCATACAATATCGTCATTGAATACTGAAAAAAAAATAAAATTTATTAATTTTTTTTCTTCCTTTATCAAATAATAATTATTTTTATACATATTAATAGACAATTATTTCATTTGAATAAGACTCAAACATACTATTAGAACAACATTTCCCATATTTTAAAATCGTTATTTCAAAAATATCACGCAAACTTCTAATTCCTGATGTTAATATTCGTCTCAATATATAGATTTTTATTTAGAATATATCATTACTGGTTCAAATCTTTATTATAATCATTATTAAAAGTTGAACATATTTAAAATTGTGAACTTATATAGAACACGATAAAATTATTTTTTTATTAAATAATACAACAAGCAAATAGGTTAGTATTACCTATAATATAAATTTTGTGGTTCTTGGCCTCACTTGTTCAAGCAAATTCTTTTATGTACTGTGGACAGTATAAATTACCCAGTTTTACGAGACTAAGTCACCAATTGGTCCAGTTTTTTTGTTGCATCATAATTAATTTTTGAAAAATTAAATAAATTTATAATAAGAAAAACAATGATACAGTGGAACAAAAAATAAGTTAAGATATTTAGTCTCACTTTTTAAGATATTTAATTTAATTTTTGAAAAAAAAAAATATCAAAAAGTAATAACCAATAAACATTTTTTTTAACCTGAAAAACATTTAAACTTAAATCATGAAATTATTTATACCTAGTTATTCTTGACAAAAACATTGAGTTTTGTCATTGTATGTATAGGAGCAGGCGCGTATTGAAAGAATAATTAAGCAAAAACATTGATTTTATGGTTATAACGGCATCTCTTTGTTTTTTATAAAACAATAAAAATTCGTAAAAAAAAATTTTTTTATCAAAGATTAACTTTACAATAAAGATCATTCAAATTAATGGTACATGTAAAAAATGTACTTTTCCTATAAATATTAAATTTATTTTGAATTATATTAAATTTTAAAGGAATTATAAACAAAAATAAAATACTTTTTAAAAATTAAAAAAAAAATCACTAATGAAATATAATTTACAGTAAAGATGGATGAAAAAATTCAAATAATCGGTCAATACACTGTTAGAAAAGAGCAATATTCAATCAATTATCCGTATATTCAATTTCAGTTTGTTTATTACTCTTTACGAAAATTTTTTTTTTGATTCAGTAAATTATGTCGATGCTAAGGAAAATATCTCAGTAATTTAATACAATAAAGCTACTTAAATTTGAAAATAATTAGATAATAATTATTTTTACATATTATTAATATAACGTATCTGTATGTATATATATCTAATTTATTTAAATAGAAATAAATACATATGTAATTAGTAGTTTATTAGTCATATCAACATAAGATGATAGTATTGGAAGGTAATAAGTAGTGGGAGAAAATGGATTAGATGGAGAAAAGAGAAAGAGACTAGGAAAAAGGGGAGGGGGAAAGAGTGGAACTAAAAGTACTGCAACTAGATAAGATGTTTTTAAGGATATTGAAAAAAAATTAAGACCAGTTTAACGATTAAAAATTCAATTTACATGTTATAACTTTGATTTACCGGATTATTTGTATTCGTATCTTCGAGAATTTTATCTGTCTCCATGTTGATCATTTTTCAACACTTGGGGTCTTTGCACCCCTACCTTGAAGGCTTGTGCACCCTAAATTGCTTCTAAATGTTTATAAGAATTTATTTGTGGATACTTTAAAACTATTCTTTTTTTCTTTTTAATAAACAGATGCACACAAATTTAAAAAATTGCAAAAGCTTATTTAACTACTACACTCTCTCAAAACGATGAATGACGCTCGTTAGGCATCGCCATGCACAGGAAGTTAATGTAGAATTTCACCAACACAACGAATTATAAATGACCATGTTATGATTTGATACTCCGATAAATTTTATTACAATGTAAATGAAATATATATGTATATGTATATATATGTATAAGTTTAAGTATGAACAATTAGTTTAAAAATGAACGGGAGCACTTTAAATGAAAGTAAAAATTCCTTTTTAATGGTCATAACGGTCATAAGCAGACGTAAATGACAAAGTACTAATCATGTCGAAGAGTATAGTTAAGTCGGTAATGAGTTTACAATGGTAACCAATGCTGCACAAGATGGCGCTCAACAACTTTGAATTTGGAAGTTTATCCTCGATGCTCGAAAACCATGATTCAGCACGTTAATGTAAATTTAACGCAGTTTGCCATATTTCAGCATAAATTGTTATATCAAAACACCAGACTTGAGACAACGAGACGACTCTTGAGGAATTATATTATACACATAATACATATGTCATATTATCATTACATTCAAATAAAAAAAAAGGAACAAAAAATAACTTCATCAATAGTCATCGTCCTACTAAATTTATTGAAGTTTATGATGATTTAAAATTTTGCTAATATATTTTTTCCAATCTTTGTCAATGAAAAAAAAACTTTTAAAAAGAACACTTTGTTGCTAAAAACTCCCAAATTGGAAAATTGCTATAGCTTGATTTATAAGTCAATTTATTTAACAAAAAAATGTTAAAAACTATATGAAAAAGGAATTTAAAAAATCTCTTATAATATAAGAGCTTAGATTATCAGAAAGACAAAAATATGTTATAATACATTTTTGACATTTTTGCAAAAATTACATCTCTTGGTATCGTAAAATCCCTATTTATTTTTGTTGGTACGGCTAGAGAAGAGAGACCATTGGTCTCTCTTCTCTGGTACGGCTTTATAACAAATGATAAAAAAGTTTCGCTCTTTACCCCAAAGTGTAAAAATGCTAAATTACTTTATTCAAAAATATGTACAGTACCGGACATGAAGAACATGGAGAATATAACATGTTATATTCTCCATAATGAAGAATATAGACTATATTTTTCATGGTTATACATCTGATTTTCCTATACCCTCCTATACAAAATTACACAGTATTTACATATGTCCGGTACTGTATACTGTACATACTCGATTGAATAATAAAATTTCTAACATCTGATACAATTTGCGTTTACCTCAATAAATAATCAAGTTTTTGAAATTTGGCTACAATGTAAATTTCATTCATCCAGTAAAATTTTTTGCAATGTCCATAAGCAATTGTGATTGGACAATTAACTTCAGGCCACATTGTTAGTAAACATTAGATTCATCGAGGAACAACCGAGTCTGGCAGTCGCACAAATTTCTTCGTTTAAATATGACTGAATCTTTATTTCAAGGATAATAATGTGATAGTTTAATAAAAGTTTAACCGATTTTTGTACTTAAAAACACTAATTTCTAATTATTTCTAAATACGTTAGCGACATTTCATATATTTATAAAAAATTAAATGATTATCTAAATTTATTTGTAAATAAAATCCGTACTATAGATAATTATTATCAATATTAGTCAATGAAAGTATTAATTTATTGAAGTGAAATTATATTGTTGAAATTCTTAAAATATTTAAAAATGTTTTTTATATGTTTAACGGTCGGCCTAGTTTTTTTGGCTTCTAAGCTTCGTGAGAATGTAATTCACAGTGTCAAAAATTTATGTCATAATGTTATTTCTCATAAATCCAACATTAGTGATGATAATAATAATAATTATCAAATTATTAATAAACAAGCACTCATTTCGTTAGATAAAATTATTTTGGCTGATTCTCCGGAAAAATGTGATTATGCCATTCAACAAATTTACTGGTATTTTCTTTCTTGTTTACCCATCTATTCAATAAAAGTTCTTATTTGTTGTTTACATTTGTTTTGATTTATTCCAGTGACTCAACTGATAATGTGTTGGGATTCGATTGCGAATGGGTGAACGAAAGTTCTGTTTCTTTGCTTCAATTAGCAACCAATAATGGACTTTGTGCTTTATTCCGTCTTGGAAAAATAGGATATGTTCCATTGAAGCTCAAGGTATATGTAAAATGTCCATGAAATATTTAAACAAATAAAATAAAATAAATTATTAATCATGTTTAGGAGTTATTGGCAAATAAATGCATTATAAAAGTAGGTGTAGGATCATTTGAAGATGGGAAAAGATTAACCAGTGATTATGGATGTACTGTCGTAGGGACAATTGATTTAAGATTATTAGCGAATCATTTAGAAATTTCTAGTCATCAAAATTTATCTGCTCTTTGTCTTCAATATCTTGGAATCGAATTGAATAAAACCTATGAAGTAACATGTAGCGACTGGAATGCTATTTCTCTGACTGATGAACAGATTGAATATGCAGCTTCAGATGCTATAGCTTCTGTTTTAATTTTCTATCAGGTATTTTATATAAATTAAATCAAACTATTAACGTTTGATTAAAATACTCTTCATTTGATTAGATGAAAAAAGTAGCAGATAAAAAACGCTCAACATGGAAAAAAATTGTAATATTTATTAAAAAAACATGGGCGAAAGGAACATATTGTGACTTACCTGAAGGAATATTAGATACAAGGTATTTTTTAAGTTATTTATGGTACACATTGTTTTTTTTTCATTTATACAATTTTTTATTTTTATTCTTTAGATATAGAAGTTCATCTCAAAGTTCAAATGGTAAATTACAATCTAACTCAAATCAATGCAGTGAAATGAAAAAGCAGAATGTAGAACTTTCTGAAAAATTGAATATATTCAAAAAACCTAGTATTCCAACACGAAAGGAGCCTCTATATCATAATTGTTATTTACAAGCACCAGATGGTGAAACATTATGTACTTGTGATCGTAAAAAAGCCGAATGGTACATCAATAAAAAATTTAGGTACTAAAGTGAATGATGATCCACTTACTGTGAAACTGAATTTTGAACCATCTGGTCGCGCTTTTGGTGAGGTTGGACGATATTACACTCAAGTAAAAGTCAATCAATGTGTTGTGTGTGGTGCCTCGGATAAGTTTATTAAGAAAACGTTATTCCCAGAGAGTACCGCAAATACTTCCCATGTAAGATACTTTTTATAGATTTTTTTCAATTTTTAATTATTAAATAACCTAAATAATTTTTTTGTAGTGGTTATGAAAGCACATCAATCACATGATGTCCTTCTTCTTTGCCCAACTTGCCATGAGAAAAGTAATAAAAATGATTTAGATATGAGGAGAAAATTAGCAGTTATGTGTGATGCACCATTATCAAAAGCAATTTTACAAACACGAAATGATCAATACAGAAAAAAAAAAGAATTAATATCAGCAGTGAAGGCTCTAAAATTTAGTTCTTCGATTCCACCTCAACGCAAGAGAGAATTAGAAATTCGCATTGCAGAATACACAAGTCAATCTAAAGCACCTTATGATTTAGCTGAATTAGTACAAAAACGAATTAATAATGAACCTGTTACATCGACGTCTCACCGACAAATGAGACCTCCACACGGGTTAAAGGTTTGAAATATAGTCTATGTTATATACGTAAAATTATAAAATAGTATATTTTTCAATTTAAATAAATTTATTGAATATTTTATTGAAATATATTCAAAATGTAAATGTTTTTTTTTAAATAGGTAGTTCAGTATTTTACTAATTCTGAAGGAGGACTTGTAACTTTAGAGAGAATGTGGCGAGAACATTTTTTGACTACAATGCAACCACAATATCTACCAAAACTTTGGTCTGTTCGACATAATCAGGAGAGATTAATGATTCGTCAAACACAAAATAGAATTGAACCGGAAGATGCTAAAGTAGCTGGTCTTTCAAGATGATAAAATTGAAAAAAATTTAATTTCAAATTAACTTATAAATCAAAATGATAATATAATATATAGAGATAACTTATAAGTATAAATTAAATATTTGTAATAATTTATTATATAAATACAATTTTCATTGTATGTACTCGTATAAGAGCGAGTACGTGATTTAATATATCCATAAAATTAACCTCAGTTACAAATTCTACTTTAGACGAATAATTTAAAAAAAATAAATAAAATTTTCAACTTATTTTTTATTTCTTATCATTTAATTATTCAATATGTTGAGTACTACTATTTACAAAATTCATGTTCATTAAATCCTAGAGTCACACAATGGTTACACATTTTTTCTGTCGTCTGATCATTTGTAGATGAAAATGTTTCAACTCTGCATCGATTCTTTCTTTCGCTCTAACAACTTTAGATTGGAGGTAAAAAGATCCACCCTTTTGATCTATCATTGGCATCAAATAAGTATTTGTAATTTTTTTCAATGGCATCTTTTTGAGTAGGTTTTTCAACGTTTAAGATACGAAGAGCCTCTTCAAGTGATATTCCAGTTTTGTTGTAGTTGTAGCACTTTGTGTACCTTTTACACCACCACCAGCACGTTTTGCTGCTTCTTGGCTAGCCGCTATTTCTTGGCGAAGTGCTCGGGCAAAAGCTTTACCAATTATTTGGGTCCCTAGGACAATTATTTGGGCTAAGTATTTGGCCATAACGATTCACTTAATGGATGTGTTGTTGGTAGTCGATTATTTATCTCATAAATTATTTTAAAATAATCCAGTGGTTTGAGTTGTAACTTTTTCAGGTTATATCATTTGAACATCGATTAAACTCGAAACATTTAGGGCTAGTATAGTTTGGAATGTTAATCATAGTGTAATCATGAATGTGTTGAATGCAAGGCAGTATTAAAATATTCACCTGGACGAAT